GACGTCTCCCTTCACCCGCTTTTCTGTTCTCGGTCTCCCAGGAGGAGGTCACATGTAGATCCTTGTAATCGTTTCTGAGACTCTAACTCCTTATGGAAGCAGAAAGCCTCATCTTCCTCCTGGGTAGCAGAGGGTGGTTTTGAATCACTGACCTTGTGATTAGCAACCTAATGCTTAACCACTATGCCACCAGGACATTTTTATTTTTTTGCATTTTGACAGCTTATTTCCCCAGTATAATCTGTTGAAAAGACTATCCTTCATTTAATAACTTCCACAAAGCACATAACTCACACTTTATATAACAATTTTTCTCTCAGGAATATCTTCTAAGGAATTTAAAAGCATCTTCCCATTAAAATGTTTCATTGAGTGAAAAACTATGTAAATATATGCATGAAGTTGAGGAATATATTAATATTTAAATACTTTTCTTTCAGAGACTTTTTCATGTCCATTCTCATGTTCATTCTGCTGGTGTTTATAATATATGGGAAATTCTCCCAGGATGAATATGCTCTGAATCAAGCTATCCGAAATGAATTTACCAGGTGGGAGCTTTTAGTAAATTTCTATATTTTAGTCTAAAAAGAATATTTTCCATGTTTTAATATTTCTAAAATTAGTATGCATGTTATAATCAATGTGTATATTAGATATAACACTTCCTGTTTTAACTGAAGAAATGTTATTAAACCTTTGGTTAGACTTTATTTTTACCTGCCAAAATGATTAGTCTGATAGTTCTCTCAAATCAGTTTAACTTGAAATATGAAGTGCTGACATGAAGTGCTGAATTTAGTGGCAGAAAATAAAGTAATTCTATACTTCCCAAGATTTGTGTTCTCTTTCTCTGGTGATTATTTTCAAACAAATTCCTGCAGGCTTTTTATGATTGTGTTACCTTGGACTAAGTGATTTGATGCTATGTAAATTACCTTTTGTTGCATTTTTTGGCAGGGGTGAATTACTGGAAAATCCAGTACATTTTTGTAGTATTTCAGGGCATAGAATTTCATATTCTGCAAAAAAAGATGATTAATATCCAACTAGTGAATAGTAGCGAATTCATGTTATCCCACATGATCCACAAGTAAAGTAAGACATAGATATCCTTGTTAAAAAGTCTGAACTCTATTTAATTCCATCTAACCTTTTTAAAAATTGTGTTTGTTTATTTTTAACAATTCCACAGATATACAAATCACATATCATACATTTTAATAGTTCAATCACATTTATAAGAGTTGTACAACCATGACCACAATCAGTTCCAAGCCATTTCTTCCTACTTGTACTCATCGTTAGCTCCCTATTTCCTGCCACCTACCCTGTCATGTCGCTTTCAATCATTGATCCAGTTGAGTCTCTGTAGGTTTACCTAATCTGGGTTTCAGCTATAGAAAATCAAGGCAGAATACAAAGAAACAACCTAACCAGAATGACACAATGAGATAAAGAAATTGAGTAGATTCGTAGTGAAATTAAGTGATTCTTTTCTACCTTTCCCTATACAAAAGCAGCAGTTATTTTCATTCAAAACGAATTTCTCACTCTCCCTTTTGCTCAAATGCATGGTTTGTGCCAGTAGATGGTGGTGTGTACAAAAGAAAGAAACCTTGGTAATTTCTCTCTGGAATTGGAAGCTCGTGTTTATCTCGCATTTCACAAATCAGCTTTGCTTAATATATTTTTCATATTGACTTTTAATATGCAAAATCAGAATTATTACAGCAAAGAAAATATTTGTGACACATCTCATGTACACCTTCGATTAATTCAGAACTCATAGCAAAATATGCCACCGCGTCTTGTTGACCTGATTTTCCCACAGAGAGGCAATGACCACATTACTTCTGGCTGTTCTGGGCATCAAGCAGTGATATTATTTATGTATGCTGGTTTACAATGGAATGCTTGAATTAGATTCCCCCCCCCCACACACATCTTTACCGCTCAGTGTATAATCATGAAACAATGGCATTTACTGGTATCATACATGGAAGAACTAGAGTCCAGTAGGGAAGAAATGGATTAAGTAGAAGTCAAGGACTGGGGTAATAGCTCTTATTTGGCAACTACGTAGTGTTGTGTCAGTCCTTTGACTCTGAATCTTTAGTGTTGTCATCTGTAAAGTGAAGCACATAGATTCCTTGATTTCTAATTCTTAAGAAAAGTAGTGTCATGTGTTGAATTTCTTCTTATTTAAGTGGTTATAAATCAATAAAACCAGAACCCACTACCATCAAGTTGATTCCAACTCATAGAAACTCTCTATAAATATTTTTGGGATCAGTCCAACACTTACCCAGCAGCATCAATTATAAATAATACAAAATAACAATAAGTTATCACTCAATGAAATTAGTGTTTTCTTTATGTGTCATATATTGATAACAACTGTTAATTTTATCTTTTAAATTCCTCTGCTATTTTGTATACCCATTTTAATTACTTGAATCAGTCCAGACAGGGAAAGAGTGTTCTTATTTTAAAACTTTTCACTGTGCTTCTTGTAGGCAGTGTATTTATGGATCCTGTATTCTTATCCAGTCTGCTACTCTCTGTCTATTGACTTGCACATTTAATCCATTAATATTCAATATCATTATTAATATATGTGGGTTTGCTGCTGTCATTTTGCTGTGTGTTTTTGTGGTGTTATTTGTTTCATCATTATTCCTATTTCTGTGCTCTTTTGAATACTGTTTTCAGTGTTGATTTCTGCATAGTGTTCCCTCATGGTGTTCCCTCATGTTGGTCTCCTTTGTTGATTCTCTCTCCAGAGCGTTCCCCTTAGTATATTTTGTAATGCTGGTCTTGTTTTTACAATTTCCTTCTAATTTTTCCTTGCCTAAAATACCCATTTTTTTCTCCCTGACATTCTGGGGGAAATTTTGCTGGATATAAGGTTCTTGATTGACAGCTTTTTTTCTCTCAGATTAACATGTCATTCCATTGTCTTCTTGCCTACATGGTTTCCTGAATCTGATTTCTGTGGTTTCCAGGGGAAGTGGGCACTAGAGATGTTAACTCTGAGGCTGTGGTAGCTGTGTATCAAGACAAGAGCAAGAAGGGGGTAAAACACAAAATACAATCCTAGCCTCTCCTCTAATTGCAGAATCACGTTAACTTCAGCCAACTTTTGCATGTCAGAATCTTCACCAGAGCTGAGGGCTTGAATCAGAGCTGTATAGTAGATTATACCCTCCGTGGCCAGCCAAGCGTGAACTTTAGACTTTTACCCCCTCTGGACCCCAGGGTGCCATGATGAACCTGGCATTATTCAGTCTCCTCGTTTTTAGTCTCTGTGATAGTTGTTTATTGTGTCATAGGAACATGTGGGTGGACTTTAATCAGCTTGAAGCTTGATTGGAGGGTGATGAGATAAGTGACTTTCCAAGGCCAGCCCCCTTCTCTCTTTCTCTCTGGTGATCGGAGCAGCTTCCTAGTTTTTTGCCTCAACCATGTGCTGCACTACCTATGGGTTGAGCCAACCTGTGGATCTTGTTGCTCTTTTGAGACCTGCTTCGCCAAGCTGTTGGTGGATCTTGTGGATGTGAGTACATTGCTAGAGCTGGAGACTCCATCAGGGCTGCTTCACTATGCTCCTGTGCTACTGACTGTTGCTGCCCCACCCTGCTGTCTGTTGCCTTCGGGCTAACTCTACCTGCCTTGCCTGAGGGCAACTGTATGCTTCCTTGACCTTGGACAGTATATTAACTGTTCCACGAAAATGAGTTGAACTGAGGTATAGAGGTATACTCCTATGTGGACTAATTAGCCTTTGTATTCCTTCTCACTGTATATGCCTAGCCTTTTATATATATGTAATCATAAGTGTCCTGGTTTTGTTTCTCCAGAGAACCCTGCTTTACACATTCTCCCATGTTATGTTTTGGTCCAATCAAATCCACCCCTCTTTTAGAGGGCACTTGGCCACCACAGGAGTGTGGAAGGATGGATGAAACCATCTTCTGGTTAGAGCAGATTGGATTCTGGGTAATTTTTTGTTCACTCTGTGGGTCGGTGGAGAAAGAGGTTGGACCATGTGTTAGTCCGGGTAGACTAGAGAAATAAATCCAGGTAAACTCATTTATGTGTACGAGAGAGTTTTATATCAAAGAGTAATTGTATATTAAGAAAACATCCCAGCCTGGTCCAGATCAAGTCCGTAATTCCAATATTAGCCCATATGTCTGATACCAGTCCATCAATTCCTCTCCAGACTCACACAATGCATACAATGGGAGATCACAGGCGAGTGGGTGGAAAGTCTTGTGGATCCAGTGGTGGTGGAAGCATCTCAGCACTGGCATGGATCTCCATGTGGCTCCTCCAGCTCCAGGGCTCTGGCTCCATCAGCGTAGCTCCATGGGGCTTGTCAGCAGGAAGATGAAGCAGAGAATGCGTGTTCCACCCCCAGAGAAGAAGACAGGGAATTCCCAGAATCCTCAGGAGAAGGCCATGTCCACACAGAGGTCTCATTGGCTATGACCTGATTAACAGGCTAGACTCCACCCCTTCAGTCAAGTTGACAGTAGATTATGTAACAGCCAAACACCAGCTCTCTTTTTGTCAGGTGTTGTGAGAGCAGTTGTTCAGCTCTTGGTTGATTAGCTAAGAGTTTGCTGTTCCTCTTGACCTCTTTGTATGGATTCTACCCCTTAATTTTCAGCTCACTTACTTTTTATTTCTCAGAGATTTAACACTCCAGTTTTCTTCTGTATCTGCTTTTTTTTACATTCATGTTGAAGAGGGTCAGAGCAGTGTGTATGCCTCCTTTACTGGAAGTCCTCAAGGGACAGAGTATTCTTGAATTGTTTAGCTACTACCTGCAATCCAAACGTGTCAGGAATTAGTCACGAAATGTTGATAAATGAGGTGTGGATCATTATGTCTCCAAGTCATAATCAGTTCTTGACCTACTTTTTTTAATGCTATCACAGCTGCAGAGCAAATATCAGGAAGTGATAACAGTTTAACTGAAAGCTTCAAAAATACAACATGACTTTAAAAATTGATAATCTATTATTTTTATAAAAGCACAAAATGTGGATTATGTTATATACAACTGTAAAAATGTGTGTCCGTTAAGTGAGATGAAATAGTCTTCCTCCTGAGAGCAGGTGTTTACAATTTTTTTCTCTATTGAAAGTAACCATATTTCTTTATCGTTCTCCACTCCCTAACTTTCCCTATTACCCTCAACTCTACTCTCCCTCAATCTCTTCATAATGACCTCTCTGTATTTGTTCATTCTTTTCCTTCCTCTTATTGAGACTGTGAATGCTGGAACAGTCTCATGACCTATAGTGGATCAGACTGTTATGACCCATTGGGGTTTTCATTGACTGATATTTGGAAGTAGATCACCAGTTGGTCCTTCTTAGTCTATCTTAGCCTAGAAGCGCAACTGAAACCTGTTCAGAAATCAGAAAAACATGTAACTCTCCACTACCTGGCAGATTAAAGCTGTGCATGAGGGGTATTGGCCTGGAATTTAAGATAGGTCTCCTGAATTGAAGGTGAGGTTTCTATCATTGAACCACTACTGCCTCATGTTGACTCCTTATGACATGCCATGACTGCCCCCACATCACTGCCTCTTGTTGGTTCTCAGAGCCATGTTGGTGGCTCTTTTTAATTGTTGTTGTACTTTTTATGGAATCCAAAGAAAGAGAGTAATATGCTCAGTAGGCAGCACATGGTGAGAAAGGACTTGGATATTGATCCATGCGACCTAGGACTTCCTGCTTTTCCGCCTACCTCCATTGCTAGTGTGCAGCAACCACACTAGCCTCCACGTTGTCCTAATCCTGCCAGGCACATTCCCACCAGAGCACGTGGCCCTGCCTCCTCTCTGCCTGGAATGCCTTCCTTAGAATGCTAATATGGCTCACCATCCATTTCTTCGGGTCTTTAGTCAAATACCACCTTCTGCTGAAGGTTTGCCTACCTATCCTACTACACATCCTTTCTTTTCTGTTTAGCTTTTTGTTAACATTTATTGACCAACAGAATCAGTATTTATTTATTGTTTGTTTTGGAGGAACTCTAGTAACACAATGGTTATGCACTCAGCTGCTAACCAAAATGTTGGGAATTTGAACCTACCAACGGTTCCATGGGAGAAAAGACCCAGACATCTGGTCCCAGAAAGATTTCAGCCTTGGAAATCCTTTAGGGAAATCCTATTCTGTCTTTTAGGGTCACTATGATTTGGGATCAACTCAAGGGCACACACCAGCAATATCGTTCCTGCTTCTTCACACAAGGAAGTGACTTGGTTGTATATTTCCCAGTGCCTCTACCAGTGCCTGGCTCATAGTAGTAATATAGCATTGTTTGTTGCATGAGTAAGTGAGTGAATAAATATTCACCATGTGGAGCCCTAGTGGCAATGCCAGGTAAGTATTGGACTGGTAACTGCAAGGCTGGTGGTTGAAGTCCAGCAGACACTCCATGGAAGAAGTATCAGACTATCAAAGTAGTATAATGATTGCTGGGCTTTTGTACTACTGTGTAAATGTGGTTCTGGTTTAAATTTCTTCACATTCCCTAAACAATATTTAATGTGAATTAGAGAAAAAATTGGCAGGAAAATCAATGTTTTTCTTTTGTTCTTGCATTAAGAAATATTGAGAACTCCTTTGGTGGTCTGAAACGTTTTGATGACTGGTGGGAGTGGAGTCTGACCAAGCTTCTAGATGGCCTGTATGGGGACAACATGCAGAGGGCCCAGGTACATCTTTCACTTTCTTCTCCATTAAAATATAACTTCTGAAGGACCATATGCATGGCAGTAACACGAAACTGTTAAAAATATATATGCTCTTCTTCCCTTTGCATAATCCAATGGCACCCTCCCCCAGCTATACCTAATTCCCCAGATTAATATACGTACAGGCCGTAGCTAGATGCAGGAGTTTGGTGGCCCCAAAGGAACTCTGAGGTTGATGGCATAAAGAGTGGACAAACAGAAAGTTCTAGTTCAGTTTGCAGAGCCCCGTGACGAGGAATCACAAGGGGCTGTCGTAGAACCAAGCCTCCTTCCCAGTAAATGCCTGAGATGGGAGCATCAAGGACGCAGCCTGCAACAGGCAAGACTTGTTCCAAGTTCTAGCAAAGAAGTTTGACGGGACATGCATTTTTAATAACTGTATTTTTAACTTACCTTCTATTGTCTACATTTTTCCTTTTATAAAATTACTTCATTCTGAGTTCTTCAACCAGTTTATGTTTTCTGTGTAATCATATGCATTGAAACTGAAGATATTTTTTAAAAGATAAGATTCATATTTAATACAAAGTATGAAAGCACCATTTGCATTTTAGACTTTCCAGGACAAGACTGTGGAGATAATTACTGACTTTTTTGGCGTATTGGTTAACATCTGAGAATGTCATTAAAATGAAAATAAGTTGCTGACCTCAAGAATTTAGTAGGCAAAGCTACCCAGCACATACTCACACCTCCTTAGTAATACTTGATGATGCTGTTTTTAAGTTTATATTATTTCCAGTCCTTTAACTATTTTTCTTATTGTAGACTGGCGCTCTTGGAGGGAAATGCTATCTAATTGGCACTGTAGTCATTAAACAGCTAAATAGTCCTCCAAACAATTTTTGCAAGGTAAGATATTCTTTTCTTCTCTAAAAAGAAATTATA